CACACACACACACACACCCCTACCTCCATGCATGCCTTTTCCGACTAAGGCCGTCATGGAAGTCGCTGACGACACACATTGCGGCGCTTTGTTGCAGTTTGAGGTATTGTGAAGCTTTCGGGAGGCTTGTGCCAATGGCCCAGGCGCCATTCGTGGGTTAGGTGTGTTCGCGTGTGCTCCCATCTTCCAGTCACGACGAGACTTCGGCCAAAACACCCTTGGGTGTGCATGTAGGCAGCTTGACTTGTCGCGCTCTCAGCGATGTACCGCGAGACGGCAGCGCCTAAAACCCACGCGGAAATTGTGAGCAGCACTACCTCCAGAGCTTTCTACGGCCTAGCATCGTGGCCTTGGGCCCGGAGTTCTGAGGTTTCCTGGGCTGTCACCCTGCAGAAAACAGAGAGGCCGGGAGAGCCAGCATTTCACAGTTTACTCCGACAGCTTGTCATTGTCGACCTGCGGCAGACGGGATATGTTACACGGCGTTTGGTATGTGGGCTCGGTGTGGCCATGAGTCAGACTCGACAGCCGAGAGAGCGCCAAGACCAACAGTCAATTAGTCAATAGTCACGAGACCAGTTCCGCAAAAGCTCGACATGGAAGGATACCTCTTGCTGTGGCGGTCTTGAACTCGCTTTCTTTTTCACCTCGAACCGCATGCGCCTCGCCCGGATATTTGGCGAGCGTGTGAGCGCCAAAACCCCTCATCTCCAGGAGGTCGAGCCTCTGCTGCCCTCCCTCGGCCTGCGCGAGATGATGGGGGTCCGCCCGCGGGTCTTCCTTTCGGGGTGCTTTTTGGGCGCTATGGTGCGAGAAGGACGTCGTAGCGCTTCTACCAGGGGCTTACATCATCGTCAGCATAATAATGATGATGATCATCATCATTGGCAGCTGCAAATCGGACGATCTCAGTTTTGAAGGTCGGCTTCCAGCCCGTCGGTTTGCGAGAGACCTGTGGCCGCAAGTTTGACTGCAGGCTTTCCGCGTCCAGTGCTTCAGTGCAAAAGGCCTCATATCAAATCGCTAAATCCGGGCTAGTGCGGCTCTAACCGGCCTCCTTCGGAATCCCACACCGAAGAGCGAAGATCACGAAATGAAAACTGTAACGGGCCCTACGCCTCCGAACATTGGAAATGGCTGGATCGTTATATTATGTTAGGAAGTAGGGTTGGGACCGGCTTGGGGGATGTCAGGGATGTCAATGATGTCAATAGTAGGAGTGGTACGACGGTCGTAGTCGTGAGTGCTGATGGTGTCTGCGAGGGAATGGTAGCAAATTTTGGGTACTCAAAAGACCAGGCTGGGTCAGAAGCACTTTCGCCCACGCTGGACCGCGCTTGACATTGTTGACTTGCCAGGTGGGGCCATGCTGTAGGTCTATTGGGAGCTGAGCTGGTATCTGTGAGAGTTGGGCATACCTGTGCTCTTTGTTCCTGAGGGTTTGCAGTTTCAGTCAATCTGGTTGTGGGATGGCTTGATGGGAAAGAAGGGGGAAGAACGCCTAGCACCGGACGCGGGTGTGAAATGGGTTTGTTATGAAGTGTGGATGCGCTGAATTGTGTTGACCCCAATGATTGCCCAGGACTACTGTCAGAATTCCAAGAGCGCTTCCGCCAGCATTCGCTGAGCCGTGCGGTGGACATTGCAGTTTGCACTTCTCCGGCTGTGCTTCTCTTCTGTATGTTCGTTATCACGTTTTCGGCTTTGGGTTGCATCGGTTGCTTGGTGATCCCGAGTCAGAGAGTTTAGAGAGAGCTCCAGCTTTACACAATGCAGGCATATGTAGGCACTCCAACTCGACTTCTTAGCAACGCCTTGCATTGAGGCTTTGCTTGCTTCTGCTGCCCTTCAATCGTCCGCTGCTGGCGTACTTGGGCGAGCCTCTCCTCTTGTCTGTAGACGAGAGTGGCCGTGACAAATGGACGCCTGTCTCATGACTGGTGCTTCACGAAAGGTTTCAGAGAGCCGGGGGATTCTGCAACTCGCAGGTAACGGTAAAAAGCCTTGGGTAAAGCTTACCCCACCCTTTTGGTTGTTGTTTGGCTCGCTGCTAGCTGTGCCAGGTTCGAGCAGTTCGACAGCCTGGCAACCGACCCACATCACTTCTTCACTTGCTATAACCCCTTCTTGCCGCTTCAACCGCATTTCAATGGGAGCTTCGAGAAGCTGCGCTGGTGCCTCTCACAGTCGCAACGGCACTGCCAGCGAGAGTTGTTTCCAAGTGCTTATTTGACTTCTGTGCCGACACGAGGTCCTCCATGATCGAGTATCAGACGGGTATCATGTCTGCACCGCGCCAGGAGAGTCGCTGAGGGACTGAGGGGTTCACCAGCACCTTACGGCCCATACCGACGCGCGAGCGACAAGCGAGCTTCATTGGCCTAGTCTAAACAGGTCAGGTCAAACATCTCAGCATGTGCATGCAGCAATGTATTTCCGGAGGCTGGATCCGGCCGGCCATGTTGCTGCGTCTATGAAAATCAGCCTTGGTCCGAGGATTAGTCCTACCCACCATCCGCCTCCACGGCCTCTACACTGAGGCAAGGCGGGTAAGGGTAGACTTACTGCACGATTACTGACTTGCAGGTTGGAAGAGTTTCAAGGCTTCATGAAACTACTTTGATCGACTTGGTCTTTCAGGTTGCTTCAGGGTGCGAAGGTTTTACGGCTACAGACGTGCGGCTATGAATCGCGTGCGATGCACCTGCTCTTTATGAAGTTTCTGTCCGTGGCGCGCAGGGGAAACAACAGGTTGCAAGAGGGAGTGACTGGGGCTCAGGGTATCTAAAGTCCACAACTCGGACATGTCGCTACAAGACTGTGGTTAGATTCCGGTTCACGATTCACTTGACATTGAAGCACATCGGGCCCAGCAGCAATGAGCGGGACCTTCTGAGACTCCTGCTACATGCAAACTAAAATGGAATTGCACACGCTATGGGGTGTGTGGTCCCTTGCTCAAAATACTCGACTGCCTCACTGCTTGCGAGTTGGAAGCTCAAACGGGGTTGTGCTACGTTTGGGTTCCCTCTGAGAGCCTAGGTCCAGAGTTCTAATGAAGGCAGTAATGGTAGTGACTGGTAGTATCCTTTGTCGACAAGAACAGATGTGGCCCTTTATGCTGCTTCTTCCGGTGAAGCATTCAATCTTACCCTACAGTACTTAGCAATCCAGGAGGTATAGCGAAGCCCCAAGTGAACTGCGGGCAGGTGAGCTACACACCCAGTGGCCGCAGAGGAGAGCAGGCGCTTGTCATCAAAGGCGGGCTTAGGGTTTTGTGTGAGGCCGATGCACCTTGTTGCAAGTCCCACTGGCCTGGTCAGGACCGAACATCTGCACCGATTCGGTGTGTGTCCTGAGCCTTGGTCGGTCTTATGACATGTTGCGACAAGCCTTTCTTCTCCATCCCAAGCCACAATCTCAAAACCTTCGTTTCGTGCATACGAGTCAACTTGAAACGGCCATTAGGAAGAACCAGTGTCTCCGCCTTGCAGGAGGCCAAAGAAGTGGCACAGAAGCGAAGTGCAGGAAGATGCAACATTCAACCGAAGCAATTCCGATGTTATGACTGTTCATCCTGGATTTTGTATGATTTTGTTGAAGCAGCTCTACGGCCTACTGTTGAGCAGTTTATGGCCGGCTGCGCCAGTTCTCTGCGCGTCGTCAAGAGAGGTTGCAATACGTGTTTGGACCTGTGCATCCATTCTTGAAGACATCTCCTAAGCACCGCCAGCCTGCAGTTGAAAGTGCTTACAAGAAGCTCTTAGTCTCTTAGGGCCCATGCAAAAACACAGAGAATATACGTCTACCGTGCAATATATATATATATATATGAGCATTGATCTAAAGGTCCTTGTGTGGGGATTATATAAAATGGTATTAACAGTATTAACATGTAAAGTAGTATGTCCGCGAAAGATCCGCGATGGGTCCGCGAAAGGAAAGCAATAATCCGCGAAAGTTGTTGTGTAATAGATTTGGGCCGTATAGGACTTGTAAGGTATATGCTGTACCAGTCCGTAGGCATACTGGTCTCTAGCTCGCCGTCCCGCCATGTCGCGATATCTTTCTGTGAAATCATAGTAAGTTTAGCGCGAAGATCCGATAAAGATGCGCGAAAGACGCCGCGAAAGAAGCCGGGTCGCTTGAAGGCAGTCGTAGTAGAACTACTACTACCACTACTACTACTACTACTACTACTGCTACTGCTACTACTCCTACTACTACTACTACTACTACTACCTCCTGAAACATGTCGCGCGAAAGTGAGGGCGAAAGTCCCGCGAAAGGAAAGCAATAATCCGCGAAGAAACCATTTCCAGAAACAGGAATATTGATCAACGCTCATATATATATATATGGTTTTCTGACATGTTATATGATGGTAGTATATGGAATACAGGGTTCATGACATATGTTACATGGATGTACGGATGTACTTATAAAGTGTTTGGCAGTCTGTATCTATCTATTTATCCATCTATCCATCTATCTGACTATCTACTGATCTATCTATGTATCTATGTTTATCTATCTTTCTATCTATCTGTCTAACCTGTCTAACTGTCTATCCATCTATCCATCTATCCATCTACCCGTCTATCCATCCATATCTACCTATCCATCCATCCATCCGTCTATCTATCTATGTATCTGTATGTCTGTACATATGTATGCATGTATGCGCAGTATAAGTTCATTATCAGATGATAGCCGATATGTAGAGAGGTTAAATGTGAAGTTCAGGAACAAGTTCCTCAGCAACCTCCTCGGCCAGAGCAGTGCCGGAGGGGCAGCGGAGGCACCTGTCGAGACTTTTCTGACCATTTTCTGTGGTTTTAAGATTTAGGGTTCAGGATTTTTGGTGCGGCTGTAGGACTTTCGGCGGTGGGTAGATGTGGGTGAGTCGTAAAAGTGCCGCACCTTGACTACTGGCAGAGCCGGCTTGAACCTTAGAGGCTTTGGCACCCGGCCTAGTACCCTAGTAGTGCCGTAACCTTAGGCAAGACGAGTATGCAATTGGGAAGCGCAGTGCGGTTTAGGGTTTAGGGTTCAGGGCTTAGGGCCCCTAAACCCTAAACCGTTGTGCAGGACGGGGGCAACTACAAGTTGAAGCTGCTCGGCTTCTGGAGTGGCGAGCCGATGCCAGCCCAAGAGATTATAGTTTATAGTACCATAGTATTATAGTATCATAGGATTATGGTATCATAGAAGTATAGCAGTAGGTGCAAACCCACAGAGCCTTAACACTTTCGTGGTGTAGGCCCCGCCGGTCGCAAAGCCAGAGCTGGCAAGTTTCTCTGTAGTCCCGGCTTGTTGTTGCTGCACGGGCTCAACTTTCCAGTCTTTAGCCGCATGGCAATTTCAAAAGTTTGTGGGTCATTTCTATGTGGGATCAGAAGAGCCACCCAAGGCAGCAACAAATCAACATGAACAAGAATCGCCACTCCATGCGAGCCCGAAGTTCTTTGCCCCCAGCTCACCGGATACTGTGCCTGGGCCATCCTGGGCCTACATGACGTGGGTCTACTGCGACGCTAGCATAGGCTTTTGAGTTTGAGAACCCGCCATGGCGACGGCAGCTTTGGTGAATGGGGCACATCGCGGTGGGTATGCCGTGGATCGGGTGATGTTTCCGGTGCCAGCATACAATGAGACTGCCGCAAGCTTCTCCAGAGCAGTGCACCGTGGCGGAGAAACATGTATAGGAGACAACTAAGACATACGTGCATACATGCAGACGTGCATACATGCAAGCGTGTGCATGTGTATTTGTTTATAGAACGTGTGTGTATATATATATATATACATATGAATGCATAGGTGGATGCAGGAAATCTTGCACCGCCCAGATGTGGGCTCATGATATTGCCCATCACTAGGACCTCGACTCCCCTGTTGTTCAATATTGATGGTCATATGCCATGTGGCTGGTGCAAGATTGTTTTCAGTGGAGCCTACGGCCTGTCCCAGGATTGAACATCAATGTCAAACAGGCTGTGCGGGATACTCTCGTTAATGGTCTGCTGAAGCTGGTGCAAGATTTCCCCCATCAACAGGATCATGAATATATATATATATATGTATGTGTATATTAACCACATGATTCTAGGCAAAAATATAGAGACACAAGCAGCATGAACAAACACGATCGGTCAATCAATGAATTAATCAACCAATTAACCGATGAACCAATCATCTATCTCTCCATCCATTCATCCATCTATCTATCTTTCTATCTCTCTATCTATCCATCTATCTATGCATATATCCGTCTATCCATCTATCTATGTATCTATCTATCTATCCATCTATCTATCTATCATGCAAGGAATTTCTAGATGACAAATGTCAACACAAAGCATGCATAAGTATTGGTTAACATGGGTCAGGAAAGAGGCCTGTGCATGAAGGTAGGTAGCTAGACAGATACATAGATAGATGGATGGATGGATAAATCGGAAAATTAATAGGTAGGTAGGTAGGCAGGCAGGCAGGTAGGTAGATAGAATGAAGGGAGGAGAGAAAGATAGGTATATAACCAACACGCAAACCCAGCCGTGCACCTACACGCGAATGTGAGTGCGTGTATATATATATATATTATATATATATATATACATATCTCAGCCTTTATGTGTATATGCGTACACTGTAGGCGTGGGAGGTCAAACGGTCCAAAGAGTAGCCAATCCTGCTGTGAGTGCCGTGTGTGATTGACTCCCTGCAAGTTAAGGAACAAGCAGGACCTGGCTGGTTTCTTTCGAAGTTTGGGGCATCACCGCTTAACGGTTATGCTCTGAGCAGTGGACAACAGCCTGGGACCTGGTCCAGCGTTATCACGGTCATTGCTGTTTTTCGTTTGCGATTAGTTGGCGTTCTGCTTCTTCTTCTGCTTGCTGTCCTCATGGCCACGACAACCGAAAGTGGTGCGAAGGGGTTCGGCATGCTGCATTGGGATTCTGGATGGTTGCCGATGCTGTCTTGATGGTTATGTAGGTACATCTGTGAAGGTTAATGGGATAGATGTCACAGGCTTTAAAGGGCCACCTGGCCTATTGGGGCTAATGTTGACCCCTGAAAAACTATTGTCGTCCTGCTTTCCTTGATGGGTGATTTCATGTTTTCTTCGCCACTGGCGATTTTTCTGTAACTTGCAAGATTCTTTTCACTCCCGGCGGGACAGGAGGAGCAGCCTGACTTGAATGACGTCGTGTTTGCACTTCAAGAAGGCGTGGCGGCTGGGAGGTTGTAAAGTTGGACTTGTTCTTAGACTTTGGCGCTGCCCTGAACCTACAAGATAGCTCCCTCTTCATCATTCAGAAGGGGTCGTCCTTCTGGGTTTCTTATTGGGATTTGATCGACCAGCTCTTCATCTGCTGGTGGTTGTGGCCTGCTGGTACTCGACTGATACTCCTTTCAGACTCCTTTCGATCCCGCGGCTGCTACTGCTTTGCCTCCTCGTGCTGCTGATGCTCCTTCACGATTATTCCTGCAGCTCTACCACTACTACTACTGCTGCTGCTGCTGCTGCTGCTGCTGCTGCTGCTGCTGCAACTACTACTACTACTACTACTACTACTACTACTGGTACTACTACTACTGGTACTACTGGTACTGCTACTGCTACTGCTACGGCTGCTGCTGCTGCTGCTACTACTACTACTACTACTGCTGCTACTACTACTACTACTACTGCTACTACTGCTACTGCTTCGCTGCTACTACTACTGCTGCTGCTGCTGCT